GAGGATGCCCTCCCTTCGTACTCTCAGAAATGTGTGTCATAAAGTACTTACGGGAAGAGCTGCGGCGGGCGTAAGAGGGGTGGAGGGAGGGAGGGAAGGCGGGGCGGAAGGAGGGGAAGCGGGCAGGACGGAGAAACACATGGAGCGGGCGGGGGTGGGGCCGAGCGAGGTCCTGCCGCTGGCCTCGCACACCCTCGCCCAGCCTCAGTCCCCCCAGGACCCGGCCCTCTGCCTGCTTCGAGCCCCGCCTTCCGGCCTCCCCCCCCCCCTTTCCCTACAGCGGACATCGTCTTTCTAGAAACGTTTCCCCCAGGAAGGGGCAAAGAGGGAAAGAGGGAGGGAAAGCAAGGAGGAGGCGGAAAGCGAGGGTTTTGACGGTGTGTGCCTTTGCTATGGATTATAAGGTGGTAATGTGTCTCAAGAAAACAAAGCACCGTCACCCCCGGCACGCTGAACCCTTTCCTTGCCCTTCAGACCTTCTCCAAGAGTATGACCACGTGTACCACCCAGCTCCTAGACTCGCCCACGCTGTCCACGTGCTCGTGTGTGCGTGCCTTGATGTTCACGCGGCTCTCCTCGGTCCCTAGCAGCTCCACCAGATTCGCCTTCATCTGCGGTTTGATGTCCTTCACCTTGGGCTTCTGCAAGATCAAGGTCACGTCCACGTTCCCGATGCGGTAGCCTCTCAGCGTCATGAGCCGGCGCGCCTCCCTCATGAACTGCGCCGAGTCCGCCCCCTTCCATTTCGGGTCGGTGTCCGGGAAGAGTTGTCCGATGTCGGGCAGGCCGATGGCTCCCAGAATCGCGTCCGTCACCGAGTGGTACAAGGCATCTCCGTCCGAGTGCGCGGCCGACCCTTTTTCAAACTCGATTTTGACGCCCCCTATCACCAATGGCAGCCCCGCTTCCAGTCTATGGATGTCAAAACCGTGGCCGATGCGGAAAGGCGGGTCTGTGGCCTGCGGGACAGGCTCTGAATAAGCCGACATGCGCGGTGCACCTTTCCTTGGAGGCGTCGACGTGGCTGCCGTAGCATCGTGAATGCCATCCCGCCCTTGCAAATGTGGAGATTGATTGTGTAGGGCCACGGTCGCAGGCCGTACGAAGGCCAGGGCCGATGAGATGAGGCAGATGAGGAGGAAGATCTGCCGGCGCGGCAGCTGGGATAAGACAAAAATGACTTGACGATTGTACATTTTGATGCCTAGAAAGCAGCATGACAATGGAAATGTGTTGTGTGTCGGCGATGGCCGTGGTAAGAGTGAGTAGAGGATGTCTGGTCCTCGAATGCTGAAGGGGTGCTCCTCTGACTCGTGAGGAAACGCCTGCAACGCGCTTAGATCATAAATAAACCCAAAAACTACCACATTTTTCAGGCAATTTGGTCGTTCATGTTTCGTGGCCCTTCAGATCGTGGAAGTAAGCCAATTGCATGAGAAGCCAAGAGAAACGGATGAATCCTCTTCAACCTCCCCGTCCGGAAAAAAGATCGATACTATACAATTGAAAAAGAAAATTTGATACTTTACAGAGTTTAACACGAGAAGGTCATTTTTTAAAAAATTCGTTGTCGCGTACAGCATGGGGCTTACGTCGCGTATGATTGTACAATTTGTTTGGTTATGCTTTGCATTTTGCATTCTGAGAGTGTCAGGACCCCGACGTGCGCGCTTCACACTTCCAGCAGCACGCCCACAGGGGCATGGTCACTCAACTTGGACACGGCAGGGTCCTGATCCAATATAAAAGAATCGAGCAGCCGCGGCACCCCTCCACCCTCATCCCCTCCCCGCAGCATGTTTTTACTCGCCAGAAAGTAATCAAGGCGCATGCCTCGGTTGTAGGGCCGGTTCCCTGCGCGCATGGACCAGTAGGAGTAGCAACCGGTCACGTCGGGGTGGTAGTGCCGAAAGGAGTCGACCATGCCCGCGCCTTCCAGGAGCCGCCCGAACGAGGCCCGCTCCTCCGGCGTCGTCCCCGCCGCTTTGGCCATGCGCGCCTCCCCCGG